AGTCTTTCACGCTGTTATATTCTCAAAACAGTGAGAAAACAGTAGGTGCATATATAGCTCAGGCATGTGGTAACCACCAGAGTGATTTTTCAGATTTTGGAGCCGAGCTTTTTCAAGGGATCAAATGTACTCATTCTGCCATTTGAACGATGGGTTCCCAAGCTTCATCCCCCACTTGAACCCCCAGAAGGTGACAGCTTGGTTTTTTCCAGTAGAAAACTCATTTTTGCCTTCAAAAATAGCTTGGGATTTCTTTAAAAATTCCCTGAATCAGTACTGAAATACACTGGCAATAATTATTCTGCAACTGAATCTTCCTGTAGCCTGGTATCCTTGCTCAGCACAAACCAGGGTTTGTTAATCAGCAAGCACAACTTGATTTCTAGAGGCTGGATTGATGAAGGAGCCTGAATATGAATGTGCTGGCAAATTGAATAAGCGCACAAATATAGCAACTAAAAATGACATGATGCAAACAATCCATTATGTGCGCCGTTTTATTTCTGTTGTTATCCCTTTAGGAAGCGGATGCAGGAAGATAAATGTGGAGAGTCAGGTGCCAAACAGAGGTAGCTGGGAAGAGACAGGCCCACGGTGTAAAAATAAGATTGTGTGGAGCGGTTAAACAGTTTGGTGATGACAACCGGATGGAGCAGTCTGGTGGCTGGTGTGAAAGGCATGTTGTGTTCCTGATCAAAGAGTCCTAGTGACACTGCCCTGGGAGGCAGGGGTCTCAGCCAGAAAGCAGAATATCCGCCGTCTCATTGGCTGCAGATGCCCTGGCGGAGATGGAGAGAGGAGGGATGAGAAAGATGCAGTTCTGCAGAGGTTTAAAAAAATGCTGCAACCAAACCCTGCAGCCCCCAACATGCCAGCAAACGCACACCCTTCTGCCGGGCAGGAGGAACAAGAGAGAGGCTGAATTTAGGTTGGGCTCCAGGCACAGCACTGGAGCAGCATGAGAAACTGCTCATTGCACTGCAGCTGTGCTCCAGGGCTGTGGACGGACACCGGGCTTCATGGGCCGTACCTTTCCCAGGCAAACCAGGCCTCACGCACCGTGACAGCACTATGGTTGAGGAATAGGTCTGAGCACATTCAGTATATTGACTCCCATGTGTCCAAGCAGCGGGCACATCTACACATGCTCTTGAATGTGTATTAGTCTATTACAATGCGCATTAAAGCATGAATAAAAATGAATAAAATATGCCCTTTAGCTAATTAGCATTAAAATAGTGCCTTTTTCTAGTACCTCGTAATGCAGGTACTAAATTTAATGCACATCACCTAAAGCATATTAATGAACATGTAGATGTGCCCACAGAGTGTTTTCAGCTCTTCAGCAGTCTACCGCAGCCAGGTGTTGGTTTGGTGACGTGAGCAGCAATGCTTGTTGGAAATGATGGTACTTGGTTTGGTGCCATTTATGGTGGCAGATGTGTGGGGGGGTCATATCTTTGTGCTGGCTGAAATGGACACGCTCATCAGGAATTTGGTTGAAAAGCAAAAGATGAAGGATGCAGACAAAACAAAGCCTGACAAAATAGGGTGAAAATCCACCCAAAACAGGGGTTTATTTCTGCTTCTTTGTTAACACCTGGGGGGTTGCATTTTCAAGCACTAACGTTATAGCAGGTTGGCTCTTTTTATAGCTGGAGTGTCATTTTTATCATGTGATCATTAGTTTGCACGTGTGGCTGGTCTAAATTTATTGCATGATTGACCAGTTAATTGTGTAACATATATAATGTGTAGCAGGGGCCTCCATGTTCGGCGTGCCACCTTTCTCGAAATGCAACCTCCTCCCTTGAAACAGTCTTGCTGTCACCATCTTATGTAGTAAGGAGGCAGTCACTTGCCCTTGTAGATGGTCTTGAAGATTGAGGTGGAAAAGAGCACCCCAGATATGAATGTGATGCCGGCACCACTCTCCCAAGCAGGAATGTGCATTTCACCAAAGTACTAAGAGGATTCAGAAACTTAGAGGCATGCTCTGGATGACTGAGTCTGATACAACATGATGTTGCTGGGGAAGAGGGAATGGCTGAGAAGAATAGCAGGGGATTTATAAATAATGATTAGCAAATACATGGGTAGAAACTGACAAGATACCCCCGGACAAGTCAAGGGTTCTCCCAAGCCTCACAGCCCCTTGGGTGGGCACAGTCGAGGCATGCCACTGTCTGCAACCAACAGCACACAAGGTCAGCATCCTCTCCACATATTTTGGACTCCCCAGCCCAAATTTCTAAGTACCCATTTAAAGATGGACCAACAGGGAGCTGCCTTTGGCCTGTGTTCAGAGAAGGGGTGTCTCCTGCCTCTGCAGCCCTAGCAAGCCCTTTGCTTCCTTTCCACTGTACCCCATGAAAAGGTACTTGCCAAGTAGATGCTCTAGCAGACGAGCATAGGGGTTCGGTTCCCAAGAAATGGGTCCCAGGTGCAGTAAGCTGCATGTAGACAGTAGACTGATGCACTTTGTGCATCTCTGACGCAGGTGGGTTTGGGGTATATTTTTCAAAACACAGAGGAATGATCCCCCTTGATGTAGCTTAGCAGCAGTTATGAAGGACAGAGCTAAATCACAACGTAGCCGGTGAAAAGCAACACAAATGATGACACGTTTAGAAATGAAGAGTAGGTGATGGAGCCTAGGTGGAAAGAACTGAATGGGTAAAGCATGTCCTGGAAGAGTAAAGGCAGATATCCATGCCTGTGGTACCTCCTGGAAATCGTGGCCCATCAGCTAAACAAGGATAAGATTTTAGGACTAATTTAAAGCAATAGACATGCAACCTAGTTTTAAAAGATAAACGAGAGCCTAGCAAACTCATCTGAGACCTCGTTGGTTGAGGTGTTCTCTTAGCCAAGAAGATTGTGTCTGATTGCAATCTACTGATTCCTGGCTAAGCACTTGGATGCTGCTCCAAAGGCCATAGGAGTACGTGACTGTCTAAAAATAAAAGGTGCAATCCTGCAATCTTTACTTGCTTCACTGTGACCAGCTACATGCATAGGAATGACTAACCCAAGTAAAAATTGCAGGGCTCTGCCCTATTTTTCTTGATTATGGCTGACTTTTGTTCAAAGCTTTTGGTTCCTTTTTTCATAGAAACATTTCTCTGGTTGTAGGACTGTTTAAAAAAGTATTTATTTTATTTAGAAAACTGAAACGCAGGCCCTTTGTTAACAAGGTGTCATTCCTGTCAAGTAGTAAGAACATTTAGGGCGCATCTACATGTGGCTCTTTAAAGTGCATTATCTTATGTTAATGTGCATTAAGGGCTCATGCACACCCTTAATTTAATGCACATTAAAAATGGTGAATTTAGGCTATTCATGCCTAATTTTGATATCTGTAAATGCAGGTATCAAATTTAGGCATGAATAGTTAAGGCACATTAACACACATGTAGATGTGTTAAAGCGCATTAATGCTGTGTGTGTGGACTGACTGACTTGGGACTAACTTTAATCCACACACAGCGTTAATGCACTTTAATGCCTGCACACGTAGATGCCTGCCTAAACCTGCTTAATGCGTGTTAAGCTAATGCACATTAAATTTAGGCGAGCTTAAATGCACATGTAGACATGCCCTTAGACAATTAAATCCTGTGCCATAGGAAATAGTCATGCTATCCTTGTCCGTCCTGATAAGCTGGTATTCAGGATGTCTTAGGAATGAGAAATCAATTGACTTTCCACCCTGCTGATCCTTTCACACAATGCAGAGAAGGGCACATCCTTGTACATACTGGTGCCCCAGAGCGGCCTCTTCCCAAAGGACTTCACTAGCCTTATTGTTGTGGCTTTGCCGTAATGAATTTCAGCCACGTTTTCTCGTTGCTATTCCATGTAGCACATTAAAAAGTTTTGCATTCAGTCTGAGCTTTTCAACTGGGCCTTCTGTTTCTTTCTCTCTCTACCAGTTAACTAGAAAGAGATTAAAATACAAACATTTAATTAACCAACTGACAGAACCGTTTACGCCAAGTTTGCAAACAGCTCTTCTGAAAGCTGATGGGTGCCGGGAGAGGCAACGAGGGAAAAATCCCTTTCTCTGAGATGCATTTAAGTTTCTCTTTCTTCTTCTGTGCAGAGCTGAACCTTTTTGATCTCGATCTTTTGTAAAGTAAATCCTAGTCAGATTAAATACAAAGTTCCCTCTCAGAAAGCACTTGGCTTTGACAAGCCTCACAGAGCCCCAGGTTGCTTACAACACGACACTGGCTGGCACTGGAATGAAACAGGCTTGGCGAACGGAAAAAGCATATTTTAGTCATATGAATCACAACTAATACAAAGGCAACTCTGGCAGCGTCTGTACTAATTACAGGCTAGTTGGGAAGTTGTTGCAGTGGTGGATATTATTAACTGCATGGGATGCTAAAATGCATGGGCAACTTATGGAGCCTGATTCGTTCACATCCAAGCATCTACCTGTCCCAGGTCAACGGGAGCTGCTGGCTGCTCAGCACTTCTGGAAAGCAGGCTAGTTATTTGGGTGCCTACGGAGAGATGTAGGCAGCTGGTTCTTCAAATCATGGCCAGTAGCCTTTCCAAAGGGTGTAAAACATGGACAAAATGATGCCTTATGCGATGTAACGATCGATATCCACACGCTGGTGTTCCTCTTGTCCCGCTATTACTTCACACCATTTTCTAGACGATGCTTGAACACATCTGGAGCATCAGCCATTCTCCAACCTCCCACCTAGTCAGGGTTTTGCGAGCCAGAGCTGAGCAGAGAGGCCTGGGGGTTGGCACCGGTGGCGCGTCGCTGGTTGGGCATCTTCTCCCCGGGTCAGTTGTGGAGAACATATGCTACCTGGTGCATTCCCGACGGAGAAAAGAAACACAGCTGGTCTTCAACCAACTGCAGGAGTTTTCCCCAGTTCAGGCTAGCATTGAAGTGCATGCTTAACTTTAAAGTGTACTGAAGTCAGCATAGATTATATACATATTTAGCACTTTCATGAAACGAGGCCCAGCTGCATAAGGCTGCTGTATATACTCAACCCATTGGAAAACTGCCAAGATATCCCATTTTTGGCAATGCTTTCCCTGGCCATTTCCTGTCCTTTTCCGTTCCTTGTTTGGTCGCTATTCAGATTTTCTTTCTTGTGCCCCCCCAAAAGAGGAAGGGTTTGTAGCCGCTCGCCAGATGCTTGATAGATGCAAGCTGCGCTGCTTGTGTGGATGCACAGAGCAGTTCTCGGAGGGGTCGCTGCCCTAGGAGTGCCACGTAATGTGAAACAACCTGAGAAATGCGTGTTTTTTTATTTAGGGAGTGTGCTGAGGAGTGACAGGATGGCAGAGAAACAGGGTGTCACGCTAGGTAACGAGCAAACATAAAATGCATGCATATTTCATGAACGTTAATTGAGTTCACTTTTATTTTGGTCATCTCTGGGGAGGGTAACCATAGCAGCATTCAGAAGGTTAATACAATATATTGGGCAAGGAGAGTGTTGAGCAAACATGGCAGTATGATTTTTGAACTGTTTCGTTTTCTAGATTATGACTTCCAGTAATCAAAGCACTGGGAAAAGATGTTAAGAAACCCTCGTTTGGTGGAGACTGCCTTTTCTAATCGGGTACATGATGACAGAATGAAAATAATGCTGATTCTTTTAATTATCCCCACCGTGATGCCCATCAGGTTCCCTACTAGCTTTTATTGGACACCGTTTAGGAAGAGGGCAGGGGAGGGTTGCACCTTAGAGACCCTGGCATGTTAATTCCTAGCACCTGACGAAGCAGGTTGTGGCCTACAAAAGCGTGTGCCTTTCTGGCCTAGTTAGTCTCTAAGGTGCTGTCCTGCCCTGACTTCTGCTTCCCCTCAGACTAACACAGAGACCCACCTCTGCACCTTATTCAAGCAAAACATCACCATTTCCACTCTGGGGCTTGCATTACAACTTCTGGTCTGCTCACGGCTGTAGCTGACCCCACGCCTCGTCTAAGCCTTGGGTTTGCTGTAGTACTGCCTATTCAGGGCATCTTTTTAGGAAACTAGAATCTGGTGTTTATTCTTTCTAGACACTGGGCAAGTCTACACGAGACACCAAATGCACAGTTGACTAATTCTCCTGTGCATTTAGTTAATACGGGTAATAAATTTAATGCGCAGTAACCACAGCGCATCAATGCACATGTAGATGTGCCCTCTGCATACAGTATCGGTTATGAACAAGACACAAACTGCCCTGCATCTTGTTTGCTCTATACACCTTTAAAGGGAAAATGAAGCTAAAAATCACTCCCAGAGCATATTTCTTCTATTCTCCCTGGCACAATGCAAATATGTGAGCACAAAAGACTGCCCTACAGTTGGATTTATGCCTCAAAGAATGTACATTTCCATACACGTTGCAATGAATATTTGCAACTTTGGCGATTACAAAGGTTACAGCTATTACTCCAGGCTGTACATATAAAATATCCTGGATTATATATGATTTGTCTAGTTCTTTAATCAGAGTCTGAGCAGAATTCAAGGCCAACTTCATGGGGATGAATATTCATGGACTTGTTCAATTGTGCAACTGAAACTTTTATGTGATAAATATTAGGAGCAACAGCAGTACAAAGAAAGTCTTCCTGACAAAGAAAGTCAGCACTTGCTTGAATAACCTCCGCAGAGCATCCCCTCCCAAGGTAAGCAGGTAACGTTATACCCATCAAGGGTAAACTGAGGAATGCAGAGACCAAATGATGGCTCAAAGCTTTATTACAAATCATCGGCTGCACCGGAGACACAGATCTAGCTCCTGTCCCCTCATTATAGCCTCTAACAGTGTAGGTGAGACTGCGCCTATGTTGACAGACTACTGGCTTTGTCTGAATCATTTTGCTCACTTGTCGTATTCAGCAGGGGATATTTTTAGGGGGTGAAGTGTGGGCGTCTTTTTGTACTCACCTGGTCACGGGGACGTTTCCTCCGCCGGCTTGGTTATGGATGAATTGTGGGTGGAATTGGGAGCGAATCTATTTTGCTTGCATCTAATCAGATGGGTCAGACTCGGGTCTCTGTCCACTCCATTCTTCACTGGTGCTTGTTCCTGCACCACCGGAGTCAATGGCCACTTTCCCACTGATTTTACTGGAAATAGGATCAAAGTGTCACACTGTTGGCCTTCACCCAAGCTTCAGGACTTGCTTTTGTTCATTTGCTTTTGGCCTACGTCAGTTTTCTCTGTGCTATCAGGCTTTTGGTGGACAGAACTGATGAGCAATATCTTTCACTCGCCGTGGGGCTAGCATTTGCAAGATGTCTTAGCTCGGCCTCCAGATCTGCAGACAGAACTTCAAACTTTAGACACTCGCAGATCAAAATCGCAGCGTTTGGACACTTAACAAACAGGACAGCTGGTCTCTGCATGGTTGATGGCCACGTGCTCTCCGCTGGATGCCTGTGAATTCCTTCTAAACAACGAGATGAAGCAGTTTGGGGCCCCTGGATGTGCTAAGTTGTCCTTGTGCTGCCGCCATGGCGCAACTGGATATAAAGAAGTCTCCAAAGGGGAAGCTAGGGATCGACCCATTGTAAAGAAATCCTCTGTTGCTGCCATGGGAGCGTGCTTTGTGTTGTTCTGCATTTTAGAGTAGCTGCATGGGGGGAGCGGCAGGCAGTTTATGCTTGCAAGAGGAACAGGTTCATTCTAGGGCTAACTGATGGAAGAAAGTGGCTGTGAAGAAGAGAGCCATTCTCCACGATCCAGAGGAGAAGCCATGATTAGGAAGGAGTCCTTGGAGCGCTCCGACCTGATCCCAAAGAGCCCAAGAGCAGTAAGGAGCCCGTGTTGCGGAAATGCATGCAGGCAGCACTCTTGTTTCCTCTAGGTATGCGTGTTTCTTATGCTAGTTAGAGTTGAGAGTGATCGGTTTCTTGGAGCAGAGACTTTATGCTCTCACTGCCACGTGTCCCCAGACAGGTGACCTGTCAACCCAGAGAACCCACACGTCGGCGGCTTGGGAAAGGGGATCCTTCAGCTGATGGGGTGTTTGCACTGCTGCTCGGATCCTAGGGCAATTGAGCTGCCAGGCTGCATTTCCACAAAATCATATCGGGACGTGCCTGTGTCCAGGAAAGGCCAAAGAAGCCCTGGAAAACGCCAGTGCAGCCAGGGAAGGCTAGAGATCACCCCGGCCCAGCACGGTGCAATCTGCGTTTAGTGTCCGGGGCTCTCCCGGCACTGCTCAGGTTGGCAAAAGCTCCTTATTCTTGGGGGTTTCCGCATGTCTGTGTTCTCTCTTCATCCATCCAAGCTCTACATGAGGAAAATACGAGGGCATGTGACACCTCATGGCAGAGAAGCTGGGACGAAGCACGTTTTCCAGAGGCACCAGCCCCCCCCGAGTTAAGGCAATCATTACTATAGTGAGCTAGCACAAGGTGCACGTTTTGGGGGCTGTTTGCAGCGTCTCTGACGACCCCTGTCATGCAACAGATTTGCTTCTTTGTGCTGAAAATGCCCATATTCACTCTCGTGCCAGCTTACATCGAGGATGCTCACCGTGTCGCTGCAACGTTTTAAGGAAATGCTCAGGAGATCGCAGCCAAGGCTGGAGGGGACCTAGGATTCAGGCTCAATGTCCTGATCCTGAACAGGTGGGAAGGGAATGGCTGCCCCTCACATCCTCCTTGCCCCGGCTAGCCCAGGTTTAGTCGCTGACCACCCGACCAGAGAAGAGGCTGTGCTGCTTGACGTGGCACCAGACAGCAGACCACGAGACACCCGGCCTGACTGGCGCCTTATGCAAAAAGAAGTAATATTTTCCGTTACTTAAATAACACGAGCGAGCAGCTTCGCTGTGGCAAAGCTGCAGGAGCCCAGACAGGCTGAAAGGCACCCGGGGCCTTCACTGTTAGATGAGTTGCCCTAATTTCTCTCTCACGTTGTGCAGTTTCTAAGAGCGGCATCGTCTACCAAATTCACGTTCCACGTGACACCGTTTGCACTGAGCACTTCCAGCCAACGCCACGTCAAACGGCCGTTTTATTTCCGTAATGAAAGGTTAGCTGATATTTGCATTTTCGTGCCCAGATGGGTCTTAGCATTTCAGGTAAATATAAAGCTTTTGCAGGGGTGGAGGAAGAAAAGCCCTTTCCAGGATCGCACCGATGCCAAAAAAAAAAAAATAGACCTGTACGGAGGAGAGGAACCTGGTAGTTTGTTGCTGCTCCTCACCGCAAGCTGATCTAGTGTGTGCTGCATAACAATGTCCACTCCAGCTGCCTTGTGTGGGTTTGATTTTGCACAAGAGATTAGCGCAGCCATGAACTTAAATATTCAGAAAGACATGTCAGCGTGCAGAGGAGAAGGGCCGGGGTGGAGGGGAGTAGGCACTTCCCGAGTTGCTATTGCTATCACGTCACGTTCAAGCCCGTTCGGTGAATAATGAGGTTCAAGCTCTGTCTCCAGTGGAAACCTGTAAATAAAATTAGCATTTCTGGCTGCAAGTGCATTGGCCTGGGAAGCCAGCGCGAGAGCCTCTGACTTAAAGAATTATCGCGGATCTTACGTGAAATAGGCCCACGGGGCACGTTCTTGTCATTGCAAGTGCTGGTAGAGTTTGTCTTCGGTAGGTAAAAAGCTTCACCGAGGCAGCAGGCTGGATCCCAGCCACCCCGAAGGCTGCTTTATGCATTACACAGCCTTGATGTGGACTTAACCCACCACAATGGGAGCCCCTGATGTAAACCCCTTCCCGGGTTGTAGGAGACCCAGCCCAGATGGCTCAGCACCACTGCATCCGTCGCAGGGCATGGCAGACCCCCGGCTACATTGCCGCGTGGTTCAGGAGACCCCTGGCTTGTAAAATGTCTCTCTGTGAGCCGTTGTGCTTGGTCACAGCTTGGTGCATGAGGATATCAAGAGTGAAACCGGCACACGCCTGATCCACGGACACGGGACGGGGAGAAAGCTGCCTGCTCCCGACCCCCGGAGCCGCCGGGCACAGCTCACCTGATTCTGGCCCGAGTTTCCCGAGGGCGACCAAAACCCCTTCGGGATGCTGTCTCCCCATGAAACTCATGCAAGTGGTGGTAAGGATAAAACCGGGGGCTTCTGAAAACACATCCTCCTCAATCACTGAGTTCACTTAGGAAAGGAGGGCGAATGTGTCGTCTTTGACATGCAGCCCCCCCGGTCTTTCTGTGGTCTGCTTGCTGCTCTCAGGGAAGTTAAAGCTGGAAAAAATGGTCCTTGCAATGGTGCATAGTAGCTTGGCAGCACCAGTCTTGTTCACTTGCAGGCAGACCTCCTTCACAGCATGTATTATCGATGGAAAAACTTCCCGCGGTTTGGAGTAAGATGTGCAGAGACTGCCATCAAGTCCCATGTTTATCTCAGCTGCTTGGGAAAGAGGAGAAAAGAGAAGAAAAGAGAGCTCTCTCTCTCTGTGAGGTTTCAGTCACTTGCTAGGTGTTTTCAGATCTGAGACAGGCCCTCTCTCAGCGTGCTGATGCCTCTGACTCCGGGCCAATGCTAATACCTAGAAAAACAAGCAGGGAAATGAAAAGTGAGCTGAGCTTTATTCGAGCTGCCAAAAATGGTTTGATTCATTGATTTAGGGATGAAGGGCTGAGTTC